CCGGGGCGCCCCCCCGCCAGTGAATAGGAGGCTTCCAGCTGGTGTGTCACACTAAGCCGGGGCGCCCCGGGACGCACACACACAGGGATTACAGGAGAGGATCGCGCTAATACAAAATCCGTCATGCGTGTAACATGAAATCACGCCCGTGCTGGCCACCTCTCCACCCGGGGTCACTTCCCCCGTGCCAGGGAGCGTGCAGCGGGGACAGTATTCAACTTATTCACATCTGGTGAATGAAACTATCTCGCACGCTCGGGCTACATTCACACTCGAGCGGCGGCGGCGGCGTCTTTGGTACATTTTCACACGCTTGTACACGCGGGTTTTTGGGGGGGGAGGGGGCTGCGGGTTGCTAAGCACAAATTCCCGCCAAAAAAGTGTGTTTTATGGGCCCTTCTGTTGAAGTCACACGGTGTGAATGGGGACCGAGCAATTGCTGTCCCGGCTCAGCAGGATGGAGGCCCAGAAAGACCAAAAACAGGAAAATAAATAAAATAATAATAAAAAAAATCACAAAAGATAATTCCACTTAAAAAAATTAAATAGTTTGAAATTTAATTACAATTATTATTTTTTTAATCATTATAAAGTTTAATGAAAAAAAAGAAAAAGGAAAATTGGTCTATTTTCCTTATTAATCAGACTTCATCGACTCAGGGGCGAAACGCGTCATTGGGAGGAGCCGGTTGCAGTGTCAGTGTTCATGGTGGTTGTTTTTAACACAAATTAGAACAGCGTGCGGGATTGTATGTGCTACATGAGTTTGGGTAGAGGGGGGATGGGGGGATGACAGCTCAAGGGAGGGGCTTGAGGGCCCGGAGCGGTATACAAAACGTGGGTGAATTGGTCAAACCTGTTCTGGTGACAACTAAGAGGTAGCTTCCCCCTCAACTTGGAGAATTTTTTTTCACTTGATGTTGTGCCTCCAGGACAGGAAGTGAAAAGAAATCTCTCAAGGGGGGACGCAGACAGTGATAAAAAACCCGGCACCGGTTCTAAATCTTCCCTGTTCCATCATATCATGTGACACAAAACCTGTTGTGGTGACAATGAAGAAGGGGTGCCCATCACCTTGGAAAAATTGTATTTCACTTACTGTTGTGCCTCCAGGACAGGAAGTGAAGAGAAATCTCCCCATGGGGGACGCAGACAGTGAAAAAAAACCCGGCACTGGTTCAAAATCTTCCCTGTTCCATTATATCATGTGACACAAAACCTGTTGTGGTGACAAAGAAGAAGGGGTGTCCATTACCTTGGAAACATTTTATTTCACTTCCTGTTGTGCCTCCAGGACAGGAAGTGAAGAGAAATCTCCCCATGGGGGAGCGCAGACAGTGAAAAAAAGCTTCTTAACCTTCCCTCCTCCATCATATCATGTGACTGGAGCCCCATTGTAAGTGATTTGGCTGAGAACGATCAATCGATCTTATTCCAATGTGATGAATATTTATCTCAAAATGTTTTTTACAAATGGCCTTTTAAGGGCCGCGGTTCCTCCCGAGCTGTTCACGTTTCTCCTGAGCCGTCCAGGTGCGGCCCTCTCGCTCTCTCTCTTCACATCATCTCATGAATTTTGCAGGCTGCATGCGCTTAATGCGCTCGGATAGAAAGGCGCCCGCTGCAGACGAGGCCTTCACGCATCACGCTCGGGACACGGAAGCGCTGGAAGACGTGCCAGATAGAATAACTCCGAGGACACTGAGGCAGAAGAATCGGGCGCCAGGCCCCGGCTCCCCGGCACATTGCACAAGAGGGCTTTAAATAATTTAGACTGTCTCTTTAAGAGTTAACCTCATGAGCGGCCGTGACGGCCCAGCTGCGCCAGCGGTGCGGATCTGCAAGCTCACCCAAGACAAGGAACACGAGTCCCATGCAGCACCCAACTGGCGCTCATGGTGGCCCCGCCATCGTCATATATGCAGCTTGATTTTGCATGGGCCCACGTGTTTAATCCCAGATAACACGCGTTTTCACATTATCTGCATCATCCATATAAGTCAAATTCAGCAGGATTTTCACAGTGCTTGGCCTGGAGCCTCTTGTCAGGTGCTTCTGTGCTGTACAAAGGGCGGCACTGGGAACACAATCATCTGCATTTTTCGCAGGCATCACCATCAGAAAATAGGGAATGTGGCCGCTTAAGAGATACGGTGTTCTATCAAAAGTTGTGACTGTGTTAGAATGTGTGACCGGTGACGTGGCCACACATTTTAACGTCATCCCGCCCACTTTTTCGGCGGCGGAATGCGTGACCAGTCACGTGGTCACTCATTTTAGCGTAATCCCGCCCGGTTTTTCGGCGGTGGAAAAAGGTGAAGAATCCCAACGCTTTCTCAGCTGTTCCCGGGCAGATCGGCATCGCAGATGGTACGTGCAGGAGAAGCGATCTGCCCGGGAACAGCCGATCGGTCCTGAAATGTCACTTCTATCCGACTTTGTGGAATGTGAGGTCACAAAGTGACATTTCAGGACCGATCGGCTGTTCCCGATCGGTCCTGGGGCGGATCTAAGGTCTGAAGTGCATGCATTGGGGCGGATCTAAAGTCTGAAGTGCATGCATTGGGGTGGATCTAAGGTCTGAGGTGCCTGCATTGGGGATGATCTGAGGTGCATGCATTAGGGCTGAGCTAAGGGATGAAGTACATGCATTGAGCATGATCTAAGGGTATGAGGTGCATGCATTGGGGCTGATCTAAGGTCAGAGGTCGAGGAATCCTGCATCTGAAGTTTATGCACTGGGGCTGATCTGAGGTCTGAAGAGCATGCATTGGGGGGTAATTTGAGGTCTAAAGTGCATGCAATGGGGCTGATCTAAGATGGTAAGAGCAAGCACTGAGGATGCTCTGATGTCTGAGGTGCATGCATTGGGGATGATCCAGAATCTAAAATGCATGCATTGTGGATGATCTGAGGGCTAAGGTGCATGCATTGGGGCTAATCTGCGGTCTAAGGTGCATGCATTGGGGCTAACCTAAGGTCTGAGGTGCATGCATTGTGGATGCGCTGAGGTGCATGCACTGGGGCTCATCTAAGGTCTGAGGTGCATGCATTGGGGATTATACAAACTCTAAAATGCATGCATTTTGGATGATCTGAGGTGCATGCATTGTGGGTGATCTGAGGTGCATGCATTGTGAATAAGCTGAGGTGCAGGCAGTGTGGCTGATTTGAGGTGCATGCATTGTGGATGAGCTGAGGTGCATGCATTGTGGATGAGCAGAGGACCATGCATTGTGAATGATCTGAGGTGCATGCATTGTGGATGAGCACAGGTGCATGCAGTGTGGATGATCTGAGGTGCATGCATTGTGGATGATCTGAGGTGCATGCATTGTGGATGATCTGAGGTGCATGCATTGTGGATGATCTGAGGTGCATGCAGTGTGGATGATCTGAGGTGCATGCATTGTGGATGAGGTGCATGCATTGTGAATGATCTGAGGTGCATGCATTGTGAATGATCTGAGGTCTGAAGTGCATGGATTGTGGATGATCTGAGGTGCATGCATTGGCACTGATCTGAGGTTTGCTTGCCATTAGCAGTACACCTATGATTGCACAAATTGAAAACAAACAAAGACTACAATGCGCTGTTGTTCTCCGGCACGCCAGTTGTATTCTCTTTGTGAACATGACACTTAATGCGGGAAAGGTTGCTGACCCGTGCCGTATAGTCAAAGCCTAATCCTTGGAGGCCGCAGTACGGCGGATTGAAGCCCAGCAGGCAAAGAGTTATCAGCACTTCTCCTCTCCGCTCTCTACTACTAGGAGCATCCAACTGGCAGCCCCGGGGAGGCCGGCTGACCGCGCCGTGACCCGACGGGAACTCAAACTTTTTATCCCACCGCAACACATGAGAGAATTGCAGACACTGCTACTGCGGTCAGGAGTCTGTCAGTTAAAGGGAAACCGCCAGGACAGCGACAGGGGGAGCCGCCATTGCCAACTTGCATTTAAAGGCGCAGCTGACACCATCATCAGTTGGTTCCCGCCAGCTCAATGTCTCCCCAAATCGGTTACGTCTATCCCGCCATGTCGGCTTTAGGGCCCCATTCACACTTGTGCGGTAATACGCAGTGAGACCCAGCCCACCCGAGACCCCCTACAGAGCCCGCCATAGAGAGATGGGCTGTGCAGCATCTATGGTGGGCTTTGCAGGGTCACGCTCAGGTGGGTCCTGCGTCCAGCGCGTTACTAAGCCCTGCGTCCAGCGTGTCACTAAGCCCTGCGTCCAGCGTGTCACTAAGCCCTGCGTCCAGCGCGTCACTAAGCCCTGCGTCCAGCGCGTCACTAAGCCCTGCGTCCAGCGCGTCACTAAGCCCTGCGTCCAGCGCGTCACTAAGCCCTGCGTCCCGCGCGTCACTAAGCCCTGCGTCCAGCGCGTCACTAAGCCCTGCGTCCCGCGCGTCACCAAGCCCTGCGTCCAGCGCGTCACTAAGCCCTGCGTCCAGCCCGTTACTAAGCCCAGCAACCAATCAGCATGCCGCCCGCACCAATAAAAACGCTGCACGTCAGCACAAAATTGCTACTCGTGGTCTTTGTTCATAAACAGGCAACAAAGCCAAACCAACATGGCCACGCAGCCAAATGTAGAAGACCCCCCAACCCATCCCCCACCACCCGGCTAATTACCAGATTTGGCCAGCTGGATTTAGAGGATCCGGAGACCGCCTAATGCTCCGCGAGGAAGCAGTTCAAAACGCCTGTTGCCTTACTCGGCCCGTCAGTAAGCCGGCTTCCCTGCCAATCAGCGTGGAGCTGGCTTCCTGGCCAATCAGGAAGCCGGGAGGCAGTAATGAGCCGCTTGCCCAGCTTCCTGATTGGCCGGGGGGGCGGCTCCATGCTCCCTCACGGGACTGCCGGTCAGAGTTCCGGTATCGGTGGATGAGTATGGGAGTATTCGCCCAAATACCCGGTATGGGTGCATCCCTAATTTAAATACACAGCGATACGGCTAGATTACAGAATGCTGCTCTCTGATTGGCTGCTCTGTGATTGGCTGTCATTGTACTCAGCGTTGCACCTACCTTGGCGGACGCCTTGGCCTTCTGTCCCGAGGAGGCGTTGAGGTCTTCGTGGACGTGGTCCAGCAGCCACAGCAGGAACTCCAAGGCGTCGTGTTGCGAGTTCCCCCGGAACTGGGAGCCGTATTTGGCGACAGAGTTCTGGAAAAGAGAAGAGCGGCAGTCAGTGATCGGCGAGTCTTACGGCGGCGGCCCCCGGCCATCTTGCATCACGTGCCGCCATTTACAAAGCCGGATGCCGTTCTGAATATTCTGCTCTTGATATAAAGTCTGAAGCCAAATGATATAAAAGTAGACCAGAGGGTGGGGCAACCTCGGGACTCCAGATGTGGTGACACTACAAGTCCCATCAGGCATCGCAGGACATGATGGGATTTGTAGTTTCACCAGATCTGGGGTCCCGAGGTTGCCTATCCATGAAGAATACATCACACATTGTTGCTTACTGCTCTGTATGGAGGACGGTGGAACACCACCACCCACATCGGGTAACACCGTTCTCATAGGGCAGTGATGGCGAACCTTGGCACTCCAGCTGTGCCGAAACTACAAACCCCATAAGGCATTGCAAGCCACAGGCATGACTCCCGAGGCAGAAGCATGATGGGAATTGTAGTTTCAGCACAGCTGGAGAGCCAAGGTTGCCTACGCCGGTCATAGGGCCAGTAAATTGTCATCCAGGGGCTCCGGAGTTCTTAGTTTAAAGCGGGGGTGGGCAACTCCAGCCGGAGGCCAGAGCCTCCACTACAAATCCCAACATGCCTCTGCCGCTGGGAGCCTGGAACTGTCCGTCTTGCAGTGCCTCATGGGGGTTGTGGGGTTCCACAACATCTGAAGGGCCGGAGTTACCCACAGCCAAAACACAATATACTATATCACAGCTCAGATGTGACGACTGCCTTAGCTTTCTTTCTTCAGCCTTTTATTCCTTTCTCTGGTCAGTAACACACTTCCTGTCCTAGGGTGACAACACTTACTGCACTGTATCCGAGGAGCAGCGTTGTCACCCTAGCCTGCTCTCTTGATTTGGGCTACAAGCTCTATTACATAGATGGTGGGGGGAGGTTCATGCTCACAGGAAGTGACAAGGACACGGCATTTCTGGCAGGATCAGCAAGTATTTTCTGCACTACATGACCTCTCCGTGTCACCTCTGAGCCGGCATCTCAGTCCAGGAAGTAGACGGTGACCCTGGATGATGCCTGAACAATAGATGGTGCCGTCCTTCTGGACAGGAAAGCAGAGGTCATGTGACCTCTGTGAGAGGTAATCCATACCTGGTTGTGCTACTCTTAATGTGATACGACAGATCTGATTATGGATTGGAGCAGGAAGGAAGATGGGACTCGCTGAGTTTTGGCTGCCTTTGCCATGCGAGATTTGCGCTCCCGTCTTCCGGCGCGGTGCTGGCCGAGCGTCAAGCAAGACGCCATATTCGCACAGGAAGACGCCATCTGTCCGATAGAAGGCTCCAGGCGCATAAATTAAATATAACTTTCACGCCTCATCGTTCCCATTACCGGAATCATTTTGTGTCAATGTAACTGCTGAGATCCGACTTGTTACTTTGTGACTAGAGTAGAAATCAAGCTTCCTGTGGGCGGGGCTGTTGTGTTACCCTTACAGATGGGAATGGAAATCACCTGAGCAGGCAGTCCAATGAGCATGCAGGGGGGCGCGGCAGTGACACAGGTAGGCAGAATTAAAGGATCTGGACAGGTCACCCCTCCCTATGGCATGCAGTCCTATACACTGAGTGGCCGGATTATTATGACCACCTGACGTTTGTAGGCAAATTAGCTATAATTTGGTGCTGAAGTTGCTAGAGGGCCGGACCATTATAAATAGGGAAGCGGGTTGGTTACCACGACAGTAGAAGTGATTTGTTTCTGAAGATACGGGGAAACAACGCGATGTAACAGCCTTTGAACGTGGGATGATTGTTGGCGCTCGGAGCCATGGAGCGAGTATCAGCAAAACAGCAGAATTCGTTAAATGTTCAAGATCAGCTGTTGTTAAAGTGTTTAAAGACCGGACTGTCAGCCGAAAATCTGGGTGTGAACGTGCGAATTGTGGCCGTCAGCGACTAGTCAATGTTAGGGCAGAACGGGGAGGGGCAAGACTGGTACAAGACAACAGAAGGGCAACAGTGCCGTGTCAGATTCCTCGCATCTCCTTTCATCATCTCGTGGAGTCACGAGGCGGCCCAACTAAGTACTGATGGGGTGGTCATAATAATCTGGCCACTCAGTGTATATCAGATGGCAGGGAAATCAATGCAGGGGGGCGGGGCAGGGACACAGGTAAGCAGAATTAAAGGGTCTGGACAGGTCACCCCCCTTGGCATGCAGTCCTCTGGGAAATCAATGACTGGACGCAGATGACCTTTGATCTCACCCTTTCCACCCCCAGACCAGTTCCGAATGATTTCCTGTTTTGATCTCCCCTTGCAATTTTACTAATGTAGGTCACACTCATGACACTGACACCCCCACAAGGAAGAGCCTCCCCAATACCGCAGAGGCCTCCCGAGGCGGATTCCGCGCCGCTGGGTATCGATGGAAAGGAATGCGGCCGGCGTGACGGAAATCATCGCACTCCCCGGTCCGGTTACAGCACACTGAGCCATTGTGTCAGCTGAACAAACCGGTTTATCAGCCGCCCAGTCACTTCCAGATCGGGAGCAGACGACAATGACTTAACCCCCGAGATGCCGAGGGGGGTGGAATTGCGTCACTCCTCCTGCTCAAAGTGCGGGAATAGCCAAAAACTTTTTGGAGGGGAATTGATCAAAACTGGAGTAGTTGCCCATGGCAACCAATCAGCTTCTAACTTTCATTTCCAAATCTTAACTGAACAAACTGAAGAGAGAAGCTGATTGGTTGCCATGGGCAACGGCTCATGGCAACCAATTTGTCTGCCCCAGTTTTTATAAATTCCCCTCTTTTAGGTTTAGATAGGGGTTTTTTTTTTTGTTTTTTGTTTTTTTAGCACCTTTCTACTCTATCAGGTTATTGTTTGGTGCCTGAGACCTGCCGGGGAGATTTTCAGTCACTTTCTGTTTTGAAGAGGCAACAGGAAGTGAGAGAAAATCATCCAAGTGAAGGGAATTTCCTGGGCGGGACCGGGGTTGACAGAGGGCACCTCCCTAAAATGACGTATGTCAGGTTGGGATCCCTGAGGTAGGCCCACTGCAAGGGTTAAGCTTTTGCATACCGGGAGTTCTTTTTTACGGAAATTGTTACAAAAAAAACAAAAACAAGGAAGGAGAAGATGAGGTCAGAGGATGAGGTCAGAGGAAGACCCGGATAACAGGAAGAGCCGGTCACAGAATCAATATTATTATCTGTACAGGAAACATTTTATTTTCACAATATCCCATTCCGAATGTAAACACCAAAAAGAGAAACATTGACAAGATGGGAATGGAAATCACCTGGGCAGGCAGTCCAATGAGCATGCAGGGGGCGGGGCAGTGACACAGGTAGTCAGAATTAAAGGATCATAGGTAACCTTCCAGCTGTAGTGAAACTACAAATCCCAGCATGCCTTTGCCTCTGTGGGTCATTGCCTGTGGCTGTCAGAGTCTTGCAATGCCTCATGGGACTTGTAGTTCCGCTGGAAGGTCGGAGTTGCCCTATAGCTGGTAAAGCTTCACTTTCTTCTAAACAATCGAGAGAGCCGGGACACGAAACTTAACGTCGAGCGTCAACGTTTTTTTTGTTTCAGATGTGGAATTTGGAACAGGAAGTAATAAAAACATTGTCAGAAGTTCGAACCCTTCCCGGCGCTTCTAGAAATGTGTTTTTGTGTGTGCGCGTGACAGCTGGAGAGAGTTCCCCTGACTTCCTGTTCGGACAGGAAGTCAGGGAAAATCTCCCAAAGTGGGGACGCCGGTGGTAATAAAAACCTGACAGAGGCTCTGGGCCTTGCTGGCTCTTATTGAAAATTAAATTAAACCTTTTGGCCAGGGTCAGGCTGTAGTGACCGAACCCCCGGGGCATGCTGAGTCTTGTAGTTCTGGAGGACTGTGGCTCGCCATAAAAAGACGGCATGCGCCATTAACATGACGGCGGTACATCAGAGGCTGGCGGTGGTGGCGGGAAGCGCCAAGGAAAGAACTGGAGGCACCTCATGGTTTACTTTAAGCCCCTGTTCACAGCTGAGCGTGGCGGGAACGTGCGTTGCATTTGTTTCCTGCGTTGGCAATGCATTCCCATTGATTTCAGCGGGTTTCTGAACGCACGCCACATGCAAG